CACGGCAGGTGGTGGTTTGCTCAGCATGCACAGTACATGCCCAAGCCATCTGAGTCACCTGGGATTCAAAATCTCATCAATCGACTTACCTTTCTTAGTTAGTACCAATCACCTGAGCTCTAAGTCGCTCATATGGTGATTCCACCAAACGCCAGCAATCCTGCGAAGACATCTGCGATCAAAACCCTACAACCACTTCATATCTTCTACCTTTAACGGCCATGTCTCACAGGCATATAGCAGAACAGAACAGACTGCAATGCAGTAAACTCGTCCTTTAATATGCAATCCGATATCCAGCCAGTCGGCGCCACAGGTGACGCAAGTTGGCAAATGCCAAATGGGCCTTCTGTATTCCATCTAGGATTTCGTTAGCAACCAGCCTTTTCGGGCTGACACAACTCCTCAAGTTAGTCAAGTGGTCGACATATTCCACCACTTCACTCCTTATCAATAAACTGGGAGTACTCGCAGCAGACCAGTCCCAAAGCATCATTTTACATCTGAAAGGTGTCAGCGAAACACAGGCCAAACATACTCAGATTTCTGCAAAACGCATTCAGTGTCGGGCACTGACCGGTGTTCCAGAGCTTGTAGGAGGGTAAAAATCTGATCGATGCACCATTATCCAGCTCAGTCTCAAACCTCTCTGGCTTTCTCAACTTCGCTGTTCTCAGGCTACAGTTATGCGTCAGATAACTATGGACCCTAGCTTCTTCGACACAATATTACTCAACCTATGTCCCCTGTGGTTGTCACAGGAAGGTTTCTTGCTATTCTTATAGGCTGCGATGATCAGTGAAGTAGACCAGTCTGACAGGACTAACTCTTATCCCCTCACACTATTTAGTATCTCCGTCAATCTAACCAGCAATTTCCTACCTACCTAACTCCTTGAAGATTTCAGGTGGAAAACTGTCAGGTCCTGTTGCTCTGCATCCTTTCAGGTTCCATACACCTTTTCTCAACTTCAAGGAGAGTTAGAGGACCATCGTCTACGTCCCATTTAGGTGCCCGCTGGATGTTGGACAACTGAAGCGTGGCTGCTGGGGGTCACTTGAACTGTGCTTCCAAGTGTTCGGCCCAAACTTCCGACCGCCTTTCTTGTCAGGTTATCAGAGTTCTATCCTTTTCGGTGATAGTTTCATCAACCATTATCTTCTTGGCTGTTTTCCTTAATTTAATAAGACTAACTAGGTGCTGCGTGTTACTCAACACTCATGCTTCTTCCATGTCTTGCTTTCGCTACCCACTACTGCCTGTATTCGACTTGAGGAGTCGTGGTCAACTTAAGTTGCTTTCGGTCTTCATCTTGGTCGTTAGCTACCCAGCTGGAATCAGTCTTTTCGCATCAATCAGTTCGGATGACGTCGCGAAATTCAATGACGTTTAACTTTCGGGTGTGGGTTGACAATTGTCTTTACCGCTGTTCCTACAGTAATGTCACGCCAGGTTTTCTCAGGATGAGGATTGCTGTCATCTTCAAATGATCGATTAGCTAACTCTACCCTACCTGACGTCTTCATTTTGCAATCAAATATATACAGGCTATGCTATCGCCTGTTTCCTTTAGCCAGTAAGGTGCAGTATATGTGAGCCGTTACTCGCGTGTGATCGGAGTCCAAACCAGTACTCCAGAAAGAACGGCAATCCTCTCAATCGATGGCTAGCAAGAATATGATCTATCTGTGTCCATCGTTGGTTTGAAGTTGACGGACGCCATGTGAGACAGTACCTCTACTTATGCTTGGTGTTAGTGATGGCCAGAAACAAGTGATTATCGGGACAAAATTGCAGGATATCACCGTTGTCGGTTGAATGACATAGGATTTCGTAAATATCTCCCAAATACCTTTCGGATTGGCTCAGCTTGCCTACTTGAGCGCTAACATCACCTGCTGTTTTGACTACGTCTGAAAGTACTGCTTTCTGTAGCAAAGTTCATACTATGCATCATCTGAACTGCACCCAGTGGGTGCAAAGATTACGAATAGACATCGCCTAGTCTCACGATCCTTCCTAGTTCTTACAGATGCATTCAGTCAAACAGCATATAGGCGTCTGTTGACTGGTATCCAGTCGAGAAGGGCACTCACTGCTATGCAAATCAATGACATGTTTACATCAGTGAGTACATGAGGGGAAGCCTTTGGGTCTGCACCTACTCGTTAGGTGGATTTGAAGATTCCCTACAATGGCCAGTTGAGATCAATTTAATCACCACACTCGGGTCCTGTATACGTATATCAGAGACACAGCATACATTCACGACCCAAGACTCCTGAGTTGTAGTGAGCAATGCTTGCTGTCTGGTTTGGCATAAAGTACGGCTGCTAAAACTCCCTGCATGAAATCAATGGTGGGGTCTTAGGAGACTAGGAACAAGATTTTGATGGATCTGATCGTAGCCAATGGTAGTGGAATGAGTAGTTGGGTAAGGCGTAATAGGCTTAATATTAGTATCACGAGGCCAAAGCAAAGGAAGATACAGAGTTGAAGAGGATAGATTATATTTGACTGAGTCTTGTATACTACTGGAAGTCTACAGGTGGTTGACATTTCCGGTTGCACACACCATGGGAGACTATTTCTTCTTAAGGCGCCTGAAAGATAAAACGATTTATATCACCGCAGAACCCATGAGACATCTGTTTGAGCTCTGTCGTACATAGCCTTTGGAGGATGTTGTTCCGAGGTTTGGTTGTTCTAACGCCGGTTAGTCCGACCTCATACCACCGGCACTGGAAGACCGTAAGGCAAGGAAGTGTGTCCTAATTTGGGAGCAGACATGTTCTAACTCCCTTTCCCATAGGAAACGTAGCATCAGCCTGGCTGCGCTGTTCATCCAAAGGAACCACCTCACACATCCCAGCTAGCTAGCCAGTAGCAGCACTCAGTCCTCCATCGTAGCGTAGTAATTTACACTGCAACAATGACTGCTTTTCGTCTTACCAGTATCCAACAGACGTTTCTGGCATGTAGAACCTCGAGAGAACAAGAGTTCCAGTGAGTGTAGCTCGTTGGAATAATCTGATATGCAGGCGCGATCACTACGTCAAGGTAGCAGCAATCGGCAGGGAACTACAAATGAAAATGTGGTTAGTTACTGGGCGATGCGAATCGTGAAGAAACTAATTAGCAACCAGTTGCAGTTCTCATTAGGATCTCGGCATTTTTAAAATAATAATAATAACAGTGTTTGACAGGGATGTCCAGTCACCGTCATAGATGTACTAATGGACATAACCTTAAGTACGTCTGACTTTACAGGGATTGACTTACTCCTTGGAGGTCATCTACTTGACTTGGAGTATGCAGACGATATTGTTCTGCTGGATCATCCACTCAAACTTTACTGCAAATATCCTATGTATGAATGTTACAGTACAATCAAAATTAATTTTGTTTACATATTGGATTCTGACGAACATAACTAACAACAAATTTCAAATTTCGTGTTTTTTATCTTCTTCATTACTCGTGACTATCGGATATGTAGCTGGCGTCGCTTAGCCAGGATGGTGCAAGATAGAAAATATACCGTAAAAGTTAAATCTCGATCATATCTGTTCATGTACAAAGAATTATGTTACATGCCATTAGGAGTAATTACTGTTTCGTCTACGAATTCACATGTTTTTTAGAAATGTATAACACTCTTTCTCACATGTTCTCAGAAACTAAACATATTGTTACGGCTGATAGAATGAAAACTATTTCAAATAATTTGTTATGGATAGTCTTTTCGACAATAATTACACATAACCATCTGTATAGTTGAATATCTTCATCAAACAGGGAAAACTATGCAAATATAAGTAATTCTTTAAATTTACAAATGATGTGGTATTGCCATGATGAACCACATATACAAAAGGCTAACAATTTTCAGCAGACGAGTGAGTTTCCAGTGCAAAGGTACTATAAAGGATTTGATATCAGCATTTGTAAACAAAGATCTCTGAGAACTTCTGAGAGAGAAACTGATTGATTAATAAATGTTAAGTGAGTCAAGGCTTTCATGCCCATCAATTTTTTATGATTGACATGAAATTCATAAATCCAATGTTCCACTGAGACTCATAATGTCAATGATAAATTTATTTCACAAGCTGACCAAATAGTTAGGTAGTTTTTAGAGGTTGTTCGAAGTCAGTTCGTGACTTACGGTTTAAGTAAAACATTCTAATTTACGCAAAAACTAGGTCATTTCGATGTACCAGACAAGTTGATGATGTCATACGATGTGACTGTATTATTAACCAGTATGCTATTGAGTGAAATGACTCATTCACTCTATCAACAAACTGATTCACTTGAAACAGATATGAGACAGATAGTACTCCTTTTCAGACAAGTTCCATTTCAGTATACAGCCTTATCAGTGGATTTATGGTCTGATCATAGGTCTACCTATCTTAACAGATACTTAAATGTGTTGGCTCGAAGCCCTGTAATTGCTTCCGGTCTTTCGCTTTTCAAGGCCATGCCTCACCACCCAAGAACAGTATACCCATCCTTTGATAGATAGTCGGATATCTCGCCAATCGGCGCCACAAGTTGGCAAGTGCCAAACAGGCCTTGTGTATCCGAGTTGATAGTTCGTCAGCGACCAGCTAGTTCGAGCTGATTCAACTCCTTAAGCAAATGAAGTTGACAACACACTGCAACACTTCATTACCTACCAACGCCTGACGCATGTAAGACAAATCATTCAACACTACAGGAAGTTGCATCATTGTCAGCAATAAATTGTGCTCGGAACGTTATCTCATAAGCAAGATTGTATCAGTGTGTACAATACCAGAATACACTAATTTGAAAGGAAATTCTACTCTACCGCATTATAAAAGTCCTTCTGTCAGACCGTAGGGTGAATATATATTTTTAAAAACGATGATGGAATCGACATCTGATGCAGTTAACCGAATATACCACCGCAACACGCGAATGAATGATAGTATACTGTTCCCACACCTAGAACGAACAAGACAATAGAATCATAGTAAAATATGACTGTAAAAATAAACTGACTTCATATAATTTTATCTCTCTTTTGATTTTATTGTCCATGCACAAGATTACTGTGAAAAGGTTTATCACGCAAATAACGAAGAGTGAATAAGGCGATGCCAATCAAAACTGTTTGCCAGTAATATTGCAAAATAAATAACTAAAAAAACTGCGAAAAAAAAGCTTTTCTCCGATTACATTTAGATGAGAGGACAACAGAAGAACTCAGCAGTAACAAAAACGGACAAACAAAATAGTGTACACAAAATATCAGATATTTTCTTTCGAAAACAATTACTACTCTAAAAATCGACTGAATACTGCAGAATACTACGAAGGCGTTTGTTTAAAGAAGATGGCGCATTGGTCAAAACAAAAAGCAGAAATAAGACAGGAATCTGCACAGCAGGCGAACTACTTACTTTTTTCATTACCTATGTATTACATATAATAGTAGTATCACTGACAAGTTAGTTTCCTTTTTCTATCTTAGAAGAATTATCTAGGGGAAAAGGGTACTAATTACATTTTTTCATTCCTAAAGAGACCATGGGGTAAAGAAAAAAGGAACCATCCTTTCCAGTCCTACATCATGATGATGATCTTCTTCTGAAGTGCCCTGACAAGATGAAAGGATTACAAATAAAAAAGAACAATGATACAGTACAATGTAAATAATGATAAATTATTGTGACGATTAAAACTTGTGTCATTTTATCATACAACCTCAATATCCCTAACCAACTTGATGTATATCATCCCACTGCTTTACACTATCGAGTAAACCGGTGAGAGAAACAGATTGGCACTTTGAGCACCCATTACATTTCGTGATGCGGTTGAAAACGAATAGCAATGGTGTTGATTTATTCATGTTTTGTAGTCTAAGTATCGTAAGTCCATCAATCTCTTTTTCTTTGTATTTCTTAATAAATTCCACTTCAATGTGTTTATCTGAAGCCTGATAACTTTAAAAGATATGCAATAATAGTAGGTCCTATATTGTTTACACCTCTGTCTGTCATTAGCATAGAATGTTAGGCGAGAATATCAGGTGAGCCAATAAACTTAAGGAGTGATCACATGAGGTCTAAAAACACAAAGGAAAAAACGTCAACACATTTCCAGTTTAAACGACAGGCAAACAATAGATAGCGAAACACATAGTCTAAAAGTTACCGAACGCACTGTTTTTATAACACCTTCTTAATGTTATCGTCTATTTGATATGAAGCGTCTCTTGCGGCCTTGTAATATAATAAGCTGGCTTTTAAAATATACTGATCACAGAAGCTCTTCAGGGCATTTCAAAATAAGTTGTTATAAAACTCGAAAACTGTCATAAAACCTAGTTCGACTTTTCGTGAATCCGGACTTATTATTTTGACACCTTTCCCATCAGACATCACCTTCCAGTTTTCAATCCTACTTTCGCATTGTTTTATGCTGACTAGTAGTCCTAGAGGATCACTTTACATTTGATAATCCATTGGTTGAAAATCAACTGTTTAGATTAATCAGCCACAGCTACGCTGGAATCTCAGCACGGATGCCAAAGTTTCGTTCAGCACTTGCTAACTCTCGTCATTCCTGGAGCTAACGAGCTATACGGTCACCTAACTGGAAGGACAAGTTTACTGCGCTGCAATCTGCTTTGCCCAGTTATGCGACTGTGGAATATGAACGCTGAAAAAAAAAGACACTAACAGTCTACAGGATTTTGATCACAGATGTCTGCAGCATTATGGAGGTCAGGTGAAGTGTACCAGGTATGTCAGGCAAGCGAGAATAAGGTAGCTCGGATATGATTAGTGCACACCAAGAAATATATATGACTGAAATGTCATCCAATGAACAGATTTTATTATGTAATTCGAAAGTCGTGACACCTTTTACAACCCCCAAAAAGTGGTTGAAATGTTCTGTATGATCTAGTCTCTTTCTGTGAGTGAATTCAAACCATTTGAATTCTCTAACTAGATAAGATACTATAAACAAAGCTTTATATTATCATTCGCCATTTACTTCCAACTACATTGGACGGGCAAGTGTTTGTGCACCACCACAACAAATCTACTTTCAAATATCCCATTCCTATGCCAAAAAAAAAAAAATGATCTGACCTAAATTCTGTTAATTAATTTTAATAGCATTTTAAGAGTAGTCAGAATAGCTGCATTATTTCAACGTTAATTGATATTGCAAATGCATTTTGGTCAAGTTATCCCTTTGAAAAGAGTGAGCAAGAAACCTCCGAAACTATTTAAAATGTATTCATTTAGTTTCAGAGATAAAAAATTGACGATCACTTCAGTTAGTTTTCGGAAAAAGTGGTTCAGATATAAACTTAATATATCCAAAAAAAACAACTCATTTTTACTAACTGTTTACAGTGAAATACAATGACAGAGGAGAAACATCTATTTGGTGACCTCCTTGAAAAAATGGGCTACCAAAATCAAACTGAAATATGCCATAACGAACAGCTTTATAATAATCATACTTATGTACATTTATTTATTATATTGAGACTACTAGAGAAGAGTAATTATTAGAATTACCGATATTTTTTATTGACGTTAGGCGTCAATATGCAGTTTATTACAACACTTTTGGTGATAAATGCTACTCCTACATACGATGGAAACTATGAAGGAAATAAAACGGCTGATTTTTAGAGTGATATACGAACTACAGCAGTTGTCAATTTCCTTTAATCTCTCATTTTCTTCAGGAGAAAAAAAAGCATAATGTACCATAACAATGTAAGCATGTGAATAAATAAACAACTGTGAACTATTTTTAGTCTGCCGATTTACTCCTTTATCAGTTGAAATATACGGCACAATGATTGATAGCCACTTCAAAAATCAATGCTAAAATGGTCAGTTGGATAGTTCGAACAATAAAAGGAACTAATATTATGGTGGAAATATTCTAACCAATGATGAGATGCAGAATACGAAGTTAAACTACTGACACTATAAAACCTAGCAGCTACTGATATGAGCTCAGTAGAACTAGACTTTAGTCACGGGAAACCATGAGAAGACCAGTCAGTTTTCAACTGCTGCAGTACGTTCCTCTACAATGTTGCTGATGCTGCATAGACGTATGATGAATTATGTTCTGGGCTACTTGCAGGGAGTTTTATTGCTTTCGAGAAGCCTTATTTGTGAATATGGTGTTATAATGGATTATGTATCTGACAATGAGAAAGGAGACGGTTTTATCATTCGTTATCCCATCCACTACAAGAAAACCTTGAGAACACGATCATTTTTTAAAAGAACCCATATAACTCTGCAACAAATAATGATTTTAGTGCTACAGCGGGTTGTTGGAACACCTGTAATATCATCAGGAGGTTCGTCAGATGTCTGCGAAGTTTCTTCAGTGTAGTGGTATCGGCAGTGCCGAGATATTTGCTCCCAAATAATTTGCAGGTTAAATTTGAAGTTTAGTGGGGCAGAAAATCCCGTTCATGCTGTTACCTGGATTGGGTTATCCTCATTACGTTATTGTTCATAGAAAGCACCTCATTGACCAAACGACTGGAGTACACACAACTAACATTCCATTCTGTCCGATTATACGGCTGAGAGACATGGTCGTTAAAAGTAGAAGATATGAAGCGGTTACAGGGTTTTGATCATAGGTGTGTCTTCACAGCACTGCTCATGTTTGGCGGAATCACCATGTGAACAATTTTGAAGTTCAACGAAGGATACTAGGCAAGCAGATAAGTGGATCGATCACTTTGTGAACCTTCATCGGCTGAGATGGCTCGCACATGTACTTCACAAGCTCAGCGAGCGACCGCCTACCTCGACGTGCCATGATAGGATGGGGGAAGTTAGATTAGATTGGAAAGGGTTCAGAGTGGCCAGACCGATACGTGGTACCAGTCGATGAAAAACCAGACAGCTGGTCTGAGTTGTGTGGTAAAGTGCAGACTACCTGGCTGGTTGCGGTCCCGGAGATGATAGGAATCAGCGGTTGAGGACTCTTGGTGAAATGGCTGAAAATCGATCACAATGGCGCAGATGTATTCACTCTTTGATGTCTTGAATGTTTTGACTAACTTCAATTTCTAAATTCCCTCTCTTCCCTGAAATATCATTGTCTACTTTGATATCACTCTTTTTCTATCCACTTGTCTTTTTACACCACTGTGAAGTGCGGTAAATTGAAGCGATACACTCGTGTACGAAGTTCTAGGTTGATGTTCGTCTATCTTACAACTAGCATTCTGTACATTGAAAGGGATATTTTCCAATCAGATAAATAGAATATCATCACTTGAAATGTGGTTAAATAGTCAAATTATGCATTTGTAAGTGCCTGCCTAAATATTACCAAATAATTCCAGTGGTTGACGAAAATCCTGCAGACACTACGGATTGACGTAACAGCATCGTTTTTGCTGAGGCTGTAGTTGAAGTTTAAAGATCCAATGTATTTAAAGTGTCTAGTGAAAGGTAATTATGTTTGGAGATCTGATGATTAGTTTTAAGTTAAGGGATACGAGGTGCAAACTCTGCCTCTACCCCCCCCCCCCACACACACACACACACCAAAGTCGACCTGAACAGGTAGATAGTACCAGGTTCCAAAGCTACCTCATTACACTACCTCTGAAAGTCATTTTGTACTTCGGTACTTTTAAATAGATCAAAATGATCTTTCTTGCTGTTGCAGCAATTGATTTGAATTTCTAAGTAAATGGATTATATAAAATTTAAAAATGATGACATAATCTAACATAGTACGTAAAACGATCAAAGACTATGTAAAGCTATTCGTTCCACTCACAATTTACTATTCTGGCAACTTTTCATAAAACCGACGATAGCGATCATCCACTGTCTTTAGATAATATGAATTTGGGAATAATCCATCAGGTCGAAAAGTTGGTTCAAATGAGGCTGTAAATATCAAAAGATATCATTACACATATTGAAAGTATACAATACCAAGAAATAACATCAACAACCTGGAATACTCTTACTAGCAATAGAAATCTATTTGCAAAGCTTTGATTGTTGTCTTTATTGGACAGTAATCAGTGGTCGATCAACGTATATTCCAGAGCATAAGATGTATTTCAATTCACATATGGTTGTGGGTGTAAATAAATTGAGCCTATGGAAAGATGCTTCCTGTTGTGCAACACCGATCCAAGTGGTTATCAACTTCTCATTACGGCACGATGAGAAGACCGATCATACTTCAACCTATAAGACTGTGTTGACGCTGTCAGGGTTTGTAAACATTTCAGCCTTCACTGATGAATAAGGGTAGACAAGACTACTTGGGTTCGACTGCACAAACTGGAGATCTCACAATAACAAAAAGAGACGGTGGTTAGCTTTAACTACTCATGATCTCTTTGTCTCGTTTCCCTCTTCTTCTCGTAACTTTCTCACCGAATCCCACTTTCATCGATTACTTTGTTTTCTAACCTTTTTTTCAAAACTATTATAGAGTAGTAATCTTTGATTGGTATGTTTTGAATTATTAACTCAAACCTTCATTTTATTGCTCCTTACCTATATCATTGTTCTTTTCATAAATTAACAGTATCCAACATTCACCATTCCCGCTTCATCAACATTTTGCTAAGATGTGGATTTACTTATCTTTCACAGAATTATTTCGACTACTGCAAATGAGTTTTACTCTCAAGGCGGTACTGATCACGATAGGTTGATATCACTGAGAATCATTGGTAAAATAAGAGATCTGGATAGCTGTTTTTTCCCTGAGGACTGCGAGAACCGAAGGTCCTGCGTTCGATCCCTGGTGAAGTCCTGGAAGGCTCACTGCTGAAGAATCTCATGCTGGAACGAAACATGTTTCAATGGTCCCCCGACTGATATCAGTTAGCTCGTGATGGATATCACTTTAAAATCAATAAATACCCACAAACCTCCAAACTCCATTTCAATCTTTTAATTTGAAACACTGGAAGTTAGCCATTTTTTAACAGTTACGTATCAACTTCATCCCTGAGAAGTAACCTTTTAAAATCAAGGACTAACTACAGTAATTATTATTATTTATTTCAATCCTCTTATACATTTGTGTATATTGACTTTGGGAATTTAAATAAATTATCGCATAAGTAGGGCATTCCAGCTGAGGAGTCTTACTCATTAACATGACGGTAAAACTTGGGCACTGTAGTAGAATATAATTCCTTTTTAGTTTGTCTATTATATGCGTCATACAGTAAAACAGTAATATTTACTGGATAACGCTTCGGATACAATTTATTGTTCATATTTATATAAGATAACTCTACAACTTTGAGACAGTTTATCTACTTCTGGTTTTCGCTCTTCCCGTGTAACTGTTGGGAGAATTTTGAATACACCTGGAGCAGGTACAAGTCACTTAGATTGCATGCATTCGGTTTTCATTTGATCAACAAAGATGCAATTATCAATCTTACATTCCGGTCAACTACTCTTTTAATGCTATTGCTCTGCCCCAACCTGTTGTGTGATTGTCTCCAGTCACATCCATAGCTTTGACTAGGCTTCCTTTTAGATCCTTTGGGCACAACAGATTAACTAGATTAAATAACTTGTATATAATACACGTGCATGAAGAACTTTAGCTAATAAATTACGTGAAGCCCAAAATATCATTAGTCAGATAGACTAATCAACGTAAAACCTGCCACAGAAGTTGTCAATTTTATAACAGCTTATAACAAGAAAGTCAATGGAAAAATTCAACAAAATGCATGCAGTAGATTTTTAATTACATCATTAAATTGTCAAACACTGAGTTCTAACGTCTCCAGAACCTCAGCTACGCAGCCACCAACTTTTTTTACAACTACTGAGGCTTACAGTTGTGGACTTCATGGATTGGATTGGAGACCTGAAGGGACCTGTCTAGATCTCTATACATCGCTAAGATCTAAATTCTGAATGAATATAAATTGTAATCGGCAAAAGCATTTTGCCAAGATAAGAGCCTTTTAGCTCGTCCCCAAACGAGCAAAACGGCCGTTCGGTATTCACATCACTCTGATCTGGCTGGCGAAATACTACAGATCAGCCTAAATAATTTCTAAACACTCAGTATACCTTTCATTTTCCCTTGATGTGTGGATAACAAATCCAGTCTAGAATTTGTGGGTCCAAATCCATCTGTTTACTAAGAGAATTACTACAGTATCATCAAGATATAAGATATAAATAAATAACATATCAATATTACAACGGTCCTGAATTGAAGGAACCAAAGATGGGTCAGAGATAAAAATCAAAACCACACAACCAGTTCCATAAGCTTTTGTTTGGAGTCCGACCCAATAAAGTCTATATATGATGGGTGTTCACAAACTCTAGGACAACACAAAAGGAGTCGGGATGTACCAAAAGATAGGAACACAGTTCACAAACTAATAATTATGCAGCAGCATACAATATAGTGACCACTGTCATATATCATCTAATCGGTTTTAGAGTGAATGAAAAATCCGATTATGAAAAATTATAGAACATCAGAAGTTGAACCTCTTCAAGTCACTAAATTATCTGTTGTTTCATAGGTTGTGTAAAAAGAGTCAGGATACCTTAAAACATAACAGTGTAAAATGAAAATGTTGCTAACTTGATGCTGAGTTACATATCTGTCATTTGTGAACTGAAACCTGATAAAAATAATTGTGCCTAATCACCACAAGTATTCAATTTCACAGAAAGTAGTAAAACTGGTGTAAAAGGTAGGTCCGTTTTTTTAAGTATGCGAATTCATTTAGATCATTCAGATTCCCTTGAATCCAAAATCATCAAAAAGCTTCATATTATAAGCGAAAAATCACTCGGAATTTCACCGAACATTCAAACATCATGGTTGGGCATCATCGTAAAATATCTCATGACAATGCATATTCGCCCTCAGTTGAAATTTTCATTAACCACTTACCCAACTACTTAAATCAGCACTCAGTAGATCAGTGAACAGATAGTAAAAAAAATATGCCGCAGATGTAGGGTGACGAAGGGGAAATGCCCAGAAGATAGCATCAAAAAATGACAAGTCATAAGCGACAATAGGAGCATAAGGACGAGCCAAAATCCAAATTTTAACGAAGTGACTTTCCTATGCATGCCAAGCGATAAGATAAATAGTGATAGACGGAATCCAATTAGTTTTAAGAGAAACTTACAATTATTACCATAAACGATACCGTAAATACCAATCTCCTTTATTAATCAGATCACACTCAAATGATTCCAAGTATTATATGCCAAAAACCAAATAAATAAGGTTGTTTGAAAAAGTTAAAAAGTTCATCCTTATATCAATTTGCTAAACACTCATTACATAATTTATATAGGTCAAAACTTATATCACACGCAATAATCGATCTGTTTATTTAATAATTACTACTGAGATTCGTTCTTATGCGTGAAATTACTTTGATTAGCAAGTAGATACTTATGAAAGTGAATAATCAATGGCATAAAAGGAAACTTGTGTCGCGGTGACCTTCGACCACCAGATTGTCAGTCAGATGATAAACTAGTGAGTTATGAAATATGAAACAATCAGGCCCCTTCTCTCTCTCTCTCTCTCTCTCTCGATGAACGGGACCCAGATTGTAAAAAAACGAGTTTCGATAGGCAAATGCGACAGTGTAGGGTGGATGAGCTCCCTAAGCAAGATAACACAAACTAGCTTCTACTGACTGGGAAGGTTGTTTCCTGAAATCATACTACATCGAATAGGTTGAGTTGCATTGCGACAAAACTCAAACCAGTAAGGATTCATCTGTAACCGTGATAACAACCTGTTCATTGGAAAACGCATGACTTCATGAGATATTTCAGGTGGTTTGCATTAATGCCACGCGTCTACAGAAATTAAACAGAAACAAAACACCATAAAAAAACAATTAGTACCAACTAGTTGTCTAGTCTTTGGTAAACAGATAAGACAAGGAAAGAGAATGATGGGTGGGACTGACATCTATAAACATAGCCTAATGATAACATCAGGCATATGGGCGATTACGGTGCAGAGATTGTTGTATCCTTGTCGTGTCTACTTGATATAACTTTATATATATATATATATATATATATATATATATATATATATATATATATATTATATATATATGCGTGGAAACGTGGACAATAACTTCCAGATTCCACCCCTTAATGGTCGCTCATTTTGTAGATAAATGGAAAAAGCGGTAAGAAGACAGAAGGTGTGTTGCAATATCAAATATATATACAATATACAGAGGCCTTATATAGAGTTACAATGACCTTGGCTATTTCCAAGCCTTTCTATATCTGAATGTCCTATTGATTTTTCTCTCAGCAACCAATCTGATATTCATATGTTGATTCACGTACTTACTCTCGAAACTCTGGTGCAACATGGTCGCTTGTAAAAGGCTTCAGGATTTTATGGTTTCTTATGCAGATTATATCAATTTTACTACACGCAAAAATAACATAAAAACCATAGTAGAACCTCGCACAGAAGCGCATCAGTTTAACTTGCTACACTTCACAGCAGTATGTAAAGGGTAAGTGGGTAGAAAAACAGTAATCCCTTTATATCTTCTAACTTCAACAGCCACATCCAATAGCCGTAGAAGAAAACAGAGTGGATGTCAGAGCAGAAATGTAACTTCCAAGTAAACAGGTTAATGCATTCTACCAGTTCACTTGCTATCTTTAAATTGGGAGTAGTTTCAGACCAATTCTGAAGCATCATCTTACATTTGATAGGCGTAAAAAGCATTCCAACTAAACACTGAGATTTCCGCTCAAAGGGTTTTACAAGACCTAGCATTTTTTCAGCGTCTTAGTCTAACAAGACAATATCATGTGCGTACTCCAAGTTAGCCAGATCACCTCCAGGGAGCAGATTAGTTCCTGTGAAATTATTTTTACTACTGCATCTGTAACGGCCCTATAGAGGAATAGTAATAGTCAGTATCTTTAGTACACACCAATGGTTGTCTTCACTTTAGATGAAAACTCTCCACAAGCTATTACACAGCTACATGAGTTTGAGTAGAGAGTTTTGATCACTGTTGCGTAATTGCTTGGAACTCCCTTGACAATCAAACATTGCCACAATACCTCATGGGTCGACAGAGTCAAATGCCGCCTTCAGACCGAAAATATAGCAAGTATCGGTCGCCTGTGTTCCGGAACCGGCAGAAAGGTGAAAATCTGATCGACAAACCCGTGTCCAGCTCAGCCTGAAACCTGTCTGGTTTTCTCAAGTCCCAGCTAGGCGTCAAATAACTATGGACCCTAGGATCTTTGTCACAACACTAGTCAAACTAATTCCCTTATGGTTTTCACAAGAAGATTTCTCTTGCTTCTTATTGACTGTGATGGTCAGTGAAGTATGACAGTTTGACGGCACTACCACTGACTCCTATACACTACGAAGTACCTCCGTCAATCTAATCAGGTACTTTATACCTTCATCTGGTGGCAAACTGTCAGGTTCTGCTGCTTTGCTTCGTTTCAAGTTCGAATTACTCTTCGCAACTTTGTGGACAGTTAGACGACTCACATTTGCATCCCATTTACTTTCGCGTTGAATGTCGGGCAAATGAAGATTTGCTGTTATTAGTTAAATTGTATTTCTAAGTGTTCCGCCCAACGTTCTAGCCGTCTGTCCTCAGAGGTTATCAGCGTTCCATCCTAGTTGGTGACGGTTTCAGTAACCATCGTCTTTTTCTTACCAGAATCATTAACGTATCTCCTTCCTAAAGATGTAGTTCATGTTCTCATCTTCCAGTCGAGCACGAATCGACTTAACCGTCGCATGTTTTCTGCAACCAGAAAGGCGCACACATACACGAACCCGTACTAACGCGTGGCCGGAGTACAAACAGGTATTCGAGAGAAAGCGGTATTCCTCCCCCCGATCCTCTCCAACGACAGTCCATAGGAATGTGAATCTAAATGTGTCTATAGTTGGTTTGATATCGGTAGACGGCTTGTGAGACATTGCCTCTCTTTATGCTTGAAGTTAGTGCTGGCCAGAAACAAGAGCTTGTCAGAACAAAAGTGCAACACACGTCCACCGATGTCTATTCGTCAGCATGCAATTCCGTAGATACCTTTAATATGCTTTTCCGATTGGCTCAACAGTCCTATTTGAGCGTTAAAGTTACCTGCTATCACGTTTACATCTGAACGTGTTGCTCTACGTGGCAAGTTAGCAGTTATTCTGTGTATCATCCTGGATGAAGTCAGTGGGCGTGTACGCGGAGACGATAAATATACTTTGGCAAGTCTCATGATTCATCCCAGTTTATACAGATTCATTCAGTCGAATAGTACACGGATGAATGTTGACTAGTATCCAGTCGACAAGTGAGCCTTCTCCTCTATGACTTAGTGCTATACCTACAGCAACAAGTCTGCGATAGCTAATCACTGACTCCCGTCACTATTTCACGTCATACTGACATTTCGGAAATTTCTTTATGAACAATATCGTTAAATGGATTAGATTGGCATCACTGTACAGTGGTCCAACTTGACACAATAAGCATCAAATACATGCAAACGAGATGAAGAAGAGAGAAATGGGGATAAGATAATCAAATCACATAAAGCCGTCAGATACACAGAAAAGGCGTACAGCAAACAACAACAAAATATCATGTAATGGTTAAGATGACGCGGGAAAGCATCTACGCTACTGTGGTCGACTTATATGCTATAGCATACCTGAAAACTGGAACCGTCAATTTTGTCCGTTGAGTGGACTCCAACCTACAAGTCTGTATTTTCATACGCAGCTAAGATCGAAATCCAGAGAAATTTCCATTCTATAATAAGAAAGTAGAGTTTAGCAGATAAACTGACGTAGGTGGCCTAAGCTTATAACTCAATGATAACAGTCAAATTCTCAGACTTCAGAATCACTGTTGAGAGTGAAGTTGTAGCTCATTGGTTTAAGGAGTTGACTTTCAACCAGTGGGTCACAGTTTCGAGCACCAATCTACCTACCGAGGTTTAGGAATCCAGGTAATATCAACAGCCCTCACACAATAGGTGTTGTTCACTGCCTACCGCACAAATGTATACAAGGTAGCTGAGTCTATTTCTATTCGGTGTCGACAGATGAAAGCACAATACATAAAAAGTCAACTGAATTGCAACAATTTCAAAGCAACATCTCCAAATGATTAATGTAACATACAAACAGTTTTTTTTAAAGAGGGATCATGCAGATATTCACCTGAATTGTGCGAGATGCGTCGTTCTTCCAGCATAAGTTCAAAATCTGCAACATTTACTTGGGTACGCCTTTTAAATAAACATTCGTGAATTCCATATTTGATATCACCAGATGAATTATCGGCAAAGTTAGATGATGCTAATGAAAAGTCTACAACAGTTGATAATTCTCGATTTGGATGAACAAGAATACTAAACATAGCAGATGCCATTCCAGAACCATAGGAATACATCAGAATACGACGTCCCATTAATTCACCTTTGGGAACACTGACAAGTTAAGAAACAATAAAAATATTAATTTAGTGCTTTGTCATTAGGTAGAAACAAAATTATCTAAAACTATGAAGCACAGATTTCCTGATGAGATGCGTTGTGAAAGAAAAAAGTAACACAACCGTGTGTATATGCATATATAGTAACCACCATGCACTTTATGATGAATGATATAGAATAAAGATTCGTTTACTTCACAGTGCTGATTTTCAGAAGGTTCTGTACATCTATAAAAAGCAACGGAGTAACATGCAGATTATAGGTAAGTAATAGATCTTACCAGTTGGGAATTCACTGACCGAGAAAACTACGGTGCGTTAAGCGATATTGTACACCACTAAGATACAACAAATTTTGGAATAGGCTTCAAACTAAAAGTTTTTGAAAGTGAAAATATCAGTCTTCAGTTAATATTTGACCGAATGAAATAAAGATTCCCGAAAATTTCAAATAATAAGTGACAGATATTCAGTCGGAATATCATTTCCAGGAAAAAAGTTTTTCTTATCTAGTTTCTAAGCCCAACCCAACTATTACTTTACAGAATTGGGATAAGATAAAAAATAAGTCTGACTAGTTAGTAACCTGATATGAAAAGAACCACCTAGTATTTCAGCTATTCAGCGCTTCACAAAACATACTCAGTGACTTTTACACATTTTTTCCTACGTTTTCTCGGGAAGAGTGAACTGGTCAGACTTATCAACCATTACTGCATAAGAACACAAATATCTTAGCAGCACTGCTCGCATATAGTTGAATCATGGTGTGAGCGATGTCGAGGTTAGGCTGTGGGTACCAAGCAAGACAGATGGCTCAATCGATGAGGTTGTAATTCTTCATCGAATGAGGAAGCTTGGACGTGTTGGGCATTCCGAATCACTGCCTACATCAACGTATAATGTTAGTCGATGTAGGACTGGGTTGGATGAAGGCTAAGTGTAGTTACACAAACACGGCAATAGTTCACACAGTCTCTAACTGTTGATTTGATTCGTGTAGGGAAGACTGAACAACTTGGTTAAAACCCTCTAAGTAATGGGAATCAAAAGTTGGAGAACTTTAGTGGTACGGCTGAAAATCGGCTAAAAGCACCAAACGTATACACTCTTTGATATCTTCGACATCTTAAGTGGTCTCATTAACTCTGATCTACTTATTTTTTCTCCTTCCATTAATACCTTGATATCACTTCTTTTCTATCCACTTCTTAATTGCATAATGCTGTGAACTGTGACAACTTGAACCGCTGCAGTTCCGTGAGAGGTTCTACGCTGCTTTGTCCGCCTGTCTCTGTTTGTCTGTAAGAATAATGCAACCATTCCCGGTAAGCTAAAAGACTTAAGAAGACTGGATAGTATTCGCCAAAACATATCGCAAATATTTTTGACTCAATCACGCAGAGTACTAGATAAAAGTGAAAAACGTCAAACTGTGTTAGTATGTAATGACTGGACTTCTTCAAGGCACAAGTCACAATATATGTCAACAAAAGCGTGGTGCGACTGCAGTGCATAGTAATAGTAATACGCGAACGATAACGCGATGCGACAATTGGACTGGATACGAACAGCGACTGCCCTCCCTTAGACCTGATACTTCACTGAACCGTGAAAATCAGATCGACCTATGATTATAAGGAAGATAACTTTATTTGGTGAAAAACACAGTATTGATATACGGTTTTTCCTTAGAAAATGAAGCCACTAGGTCATGTTTGATATTCATTATCATTAGTCGACTGAAGAGCAAATTGTTCAGTAAGGTTTTTCCATCCACACCAAACCAAGGTTAGGATCCATAAACATCTACTTTGGTAACTGATTATTTTAAATGCCCATTTCGATTTAAGCTGATTCTTACCAAAGCGGAGGCCCCATATTACACAAGTGAAACAAGTCGTTCAATAAACACTCAACTCTCATCAATGCCAAAATATTTTAGGGGTGTATGTGACATCACGCGCTAGGTACTCAAGTGGAATCCAAAGGGGAAACAACGAGTTGGGCGTTCGAGTGTGACATAGAGGAGATCATGTGAGGAAGAAATGAAAGCTTCTGGGCAGTCGTGGAGCGAGGTTGGAAAGACTGTAGAGAACAGAGTGAAATGGTGACGTGCCACTGAAGCCCTATGTTTCACTAGGAACCCAAGGGACATAATAATAATGTAACATACAACTGGTTTCTATAAACACTAACAATCAAGTTATCAATACAAAGACAGTACCAACTTATGAAATAAGTGATTCTTGAAATTTAGCACGTAGTTGCTAAACTTTAAAACAGAACGGAAATATATACTTGAAAATACACAACCAATTATTTCACAGTGTATCACAAAGAATTCCATTTTAACGTCTTCCTTCGAAAACAAGATTTATAAATGGAAAACTCGGTCTATTTTCCCTACTCCATCGTCTACTGTGCTTTAACTAGTAAAATGTATCAAGTTGAGTGTATGGACATTGGAGAGCTCTTGTTATAACAGAAATAGATCATCGAATCATTGAACAACTTGTATTACGAATTTTGTGTCTTTGATTTAGCTTTTTACAAAGGAGAAAAGACAATCATGTTTATCTTTCCATTCATAAATACGATACTTATTTCTCGCTAATCTTACTGATGTACTAAAAGCCTGACTGATATGAGAAGGATACACAGAACAAAGCACGTACTCTTCCAGCAGAATGACAACAGGTGGAGAGATAATCCCTTAGCAGCTTATAGAAAATATTTTTTCAGGCTCTTCGAGAACCCAAGGATTATGCTCCAACTCTCCAAATATTTAACAATGTTACATAAATCAGTCCTTGCAGTGGTCATTGTCTATAACTCAAGAGCTAGCCAAATGCTATGAATCGAATTTGTTAGGGGAATAGCTTAGTGGTAATATTTTTTGACTGCAGTACCCGATGAGGCAGGTTCGGACGTCTAAAGGTAATGGAGTTTCTGTGAATACACCTTGCTAAAGAGTCTCGATCAATAAACTAGAAACCTAGATTAGGTAATGTTTCCTGAAGGCTCACTTCAACCACCAAAACACTAGTTGTGGAGGAGACGGTAGGCTGAAATGATGCATAGCATGTTTGTTTTTTAGATAAAATGAATAAAACTAATGAAACTCCCTGACAAAATATAAAAAATCAAGTCAGATACTATTTGGCGAGATGGTTATAGTTAGAAAGCGTTCCTTCTTTATTATTTATAAACTTCGTTATCCACACCGCAGTAATTTAAACAGCACAGCGCTATGTGGTATTCGAAAAAACTAAGATGATAGATGCGCAACAGACAGGAGCTGAAGTCAAGTAATCAACAAAATAATGTTTAATAATACTGGTGGAAAATACAATAAAACTGGAAATATGTATTTATATATTACTTACTTAAGAATTAGACTAGCAAGGCATGAATATAATGAAGCAGTGTACATATTACCAACATTCTTAGCGAACATTAGTCCAGGATCTACTCTGCGTTTGTATAATGATTCAGTAGCTTTCAAACATATTGCATCCAACTCCCGATGAGAAATGGTAGATCTAATCAACAGAAAAATTATCAATTAATGAAATATTTTATTTAAGTACTTTGGAAAAACATGAAAACAAAATTATCATCGGATTTTGATATTGACAGTAGAAAGTGGTTAGCAGTGCAATCCAGGACGCGCGTTTCCTCCTATTTAGAACTCGTCAGCTTCATGCACCTGATTCCCAGTGAGCGACGTTGTTCCCGCTAAGATGCAACACAGACCGATCATTTCGGCCCAATCAACATATGCCTGGGTTTGTGCCCGAAATGATGTAGAAAACCATACCAGCAAGACAACTGCAGCTGGATTATGAGAATATCAAGGTAACATTCAACAGGGAACTGGCTAGACAGTTATCAGAACAAGAAGTCACTCACCCTAAGGAAGTCTGCCACCACCTCTAGTCTGATAAGAAAACAGCGTTACAGACCATGACTGATCTCCAGAAAGAAATTGTATACAGAAAGTGGATGTCAAAAACCATTACTGGATGTACGCGAAAGCTTTCCTGAACACTATGAACAGGAGTGGAAGCAACTCAAATGTATGTAGACTAACAAACAGTCTACGGAATGACGGCGAGCAGTGGTAGGCATTGAAAGCTGGAGAGACGAAAAAGGGAAACACGGATAGGTAACAGTAGACAGTTACTTAACCTCGTGAAGGAACTAGCGGCAAAAACACCAGTGGTTGGTGAAGCAATAGAGGAGAATGAATGATTTGGGATTCCTTTGCAAGACAGACTATTAAAAGCAAAGACAGAACACTTCAACTTAAATCTGGTTGCCTATTTCTTTCCCGCTATCCACAAAAATTTGGGATAAAACATTAGGTAGCCTCTCCAACTCTGGCACAAATCAACAATACGAAAAGTTACTACATAACAGGACAGGCGGGAGGCTCCCAGTTTAGAATTAATGGTATACAAAAGAGAAGATTGAAGAATAACAGCTGCAATCAGTAACTCAACAGATTGGGTACCGAAATCAAGTACAACACCGGCTCAGTGATCTCATTCACTGACCGCCTTAATCTTCAAAAAAACTAAACGTCCTCCAGTCATAACTGCAGGAGAATCAGACTCATGAACATAGTATCCGAGATTCCATATCCTATAACCAATTCATGAACAGATTGATAACCAATCAATCAGCAGAAATCTGATCGATACATCATTGTCCAGCTCAGTCTCAAACCTCTCTGGCTTTCTCAACTTCGCTGTTCTCAGGCTACAGTTATGCGTCAGATAACTATAGACCCTAGCTTCTTCGACACAATATTACTCAACCTATGTCCCCTGTGGTTGTCACAGGAAGGTTTCTTGCTATTCTTATAGGCTGTGATGATCAGTGAAGTAGACCAGTCTGATAGGACTAACTCTTATCCCCTCACACTATTTAGTATCTCCGTCAATCTAACCAGCAATTTCCTACCTACCTACCTCCTTGAAGATTTCAGGTGGAAAACTGTCAGGTCCTGTTGCTCTGCATCCTTTCAGGTTCCATACACCTTTCTCAACTTCAAGGAGAGTTAGAAGACCATCGTCTACGTCCCATTTAGGTGCCCGCTGGATGTTGGACAACTGAAGCGTGGCTGCTGGGGGTCACTTGAACTGTGCTTCCAAGTGTTCGGCCCAAACTTCTAACCGCCTTTCCTGTCAGGTTATCAGAGTTCTATCCTTTTCAGTGATAGTTTCATCAACCATTATCTTCTCGGCTGTTTTCCTTAATTTAATAAGACTAACTAGGTGCCGCGTGTTACTCAACACTCATGCTTCTTCCATGTCTCGCTGTTCCCAAGGTTATGGCTTATGTATATTAGAGTAACACCTGAGATATTTACTCTAACATACATAACTGTGCCGTCATGACCATTCATTTCTAGGCAGCACAAATATCAGACATGAAGAGAGATGTTTTCTGAAGTGATGTCCATCAACTTCAACTCAGCCGTGGACACACATAGACCATATTATTGGGAGTTATCTCTGGAAAAAATTGGTAGAAGAGTTCCGCCTCTTCTGGATCACCTTCAAACAGAGACCACGAACTGTTCCCAGCACGTGTATGTTGAGCCTATTGGAAGTACAGCTCGATAATCAGAGTATTGAAGCTACTTTCATTGGGAAACTTGGCTGAACAGTTACTGGAACACAACAAAATCACTCATCCAGAAAAAACCTGGCACCATCTCCAGTCTGCTGTAAAAACACCGATGAAGACCGTAACCGACTCTCAAAGAGTAGTTATATAAGACCAGCGGATCTCAGCACCTTTCTTCTAAATAAATGGATGTTCACTAATGCATCCCTGCAGTCTGCAAGCCTGATCAGGAGTGGAAGCAACTCAAATGTAGACTGATACAATGTTTACGATATGATCATGAACAGTGGTGAGTAGTGAATGTTGAAGGGATTGAAAAGCCAGTGGACATAGGTAACAGTGGATGGTTATTAGACCTATTAGGAAACTGGGCCAAAAATGTCAACGGTTAGTGAGACAATAGAGAAGAAGGATGAGTCTGTGATCTACTCTCAGGGTACACGACTGGGACGATGAGCGAAACAGTCCGACTGCCTTCCATACGCCATCTAGTCGATATCTGAATGAAACATTAGAGAAGACCTTCAACAATTCCAGAAGCCGAGAAAGCAGTAGGTTACTGAAACGAGGAAGAGCACCAAAGTCAGAAGGACTAGTACATGAGGTATTCAAAGACGATGGTCGAGGACTTTCAGTCAAGTTAACGAAAGTGTTAACTAGTATATAGGAGTTAATGTGATCCAAAATAACTGATCTCAACCACTGATTGTTTCAGTCTACAAGAAAGGCAAAACGTCTTCTTGTGATAACTACACAAGAATCAGCCTGACAAACACAGTATCCGAGATTCTAGGTTCTATAACCATTAGACGTATAAGTCCAGCTTGCAGACAGCTAAAACAAGAAAACTGGGCAAAATTCAGACCTGACTTTTGGTGCATCGACTAGATATTCACACTCCATAGCTTCTTGAACACGGCCACACCGCCACAATTACCAATGCCTCACACTGACCATATTTCTTGACCCGAAGGCGGCATCCAACTCCGTCGACCCAGTGGTTTTATGACAGTGTCTCTCACCGAAAGGAGTACCGAGTAAGTACATCACTCTGTTCAAGAATACTTACTCAAATACCAAAATATGGCTTGGAGGATGTTATAAGTACCGGACTAAAACAAAGCATTAGTCCATAAACTTTTGGAGAGTTGGTCTGAGCTGTGTAGAGAACGTAGACTTCCTGGTCATACAGTAATGCTTAGATTCCATGTTTATATTGACTGACGGTAAAAATCATGTCAATGGATAACCAGTTAATCATAACCTAGGACTCCTAGGCAGTATTCACTTGTATTAGCTGCCAAGACCGCACTGAAAGCTGTAGCTCGCAGTGATTTTTACACTAATTCTTCATGTACAACATTGATTTTCAATCAGTTTGCTTCCACTTTCAACTTAAAGCAACTAAGCTTTCACGATAAACTGTCCTCCAATGTTATGACCCTTGTTCTATAAATTCGGATCACTCCGCTAATAACGAAAGAATACAAACTGAATCAATCGAAGAAATAACAATTTAATGCTTACTCTCCAATGATTATTTAAAGCATATACGTTTCTAATTAGTGAAAACATCTCTAGCATGACAAAAACCCTCCACCCCATTCTCAACTCACTACTTACTAACTTAATAATAACAATAATAGGATAATAAACTTAACTTACTGTTTCTCAGCAGGTATACAATAGTCTTTCAACACTGTAACAATATGTGGATCGACTTGATCAGAAAATTCGGATTTCGATACAATTTGGGGAGAAGGATTGTGGAGGGGTATTTGGGTGTTTTCTAAATTATTTGTAACTGAAGTAGTGACCAGATTACAAAACTTCCGCGCATCAGCCAGTCCCAACCATCCAACTGCTTTCTGGATAAGACGAGTAAATGGTGCGTGGAGGCACATATAGTCAACAGAGTTATTCACATCTGATAAATTATCTTGCCAAGGTGATGTTACAGCTCCATTAAGACCTAAACACATATATAAGATTATTCAGATACTCTAGCCGTTCTATTATTAGTAGTAGTATAGTGGGTACTACTGATAAGAATGCATATAAGGAGCGTGCGCTAAAAGGTTGGAAGAAGTCACAGACAATTAGGAACGATGGATTAATATTCTCCCCAAAGAAGTGCGAAAGATGACGTGGCCGTATCAACAGCAAGACGAGATAGGAGAAGATGAATTTAAACATATTGTGTAAATTGACATTTCAATTGTTCATATATAATGGCCTTGAATATTTTCAGGCCTTCCTATCCTGTTGGCTTTTCTCGCATCAACTAATCTGATATCTACACGTTGGTTCACGTGATTTCCATACAAACTTTGGTGCAGTATAATTGGTTGTAGAAAGCTTCAGGAATTCGAGGCTTTTTAGGAAGATTATAGCAACCTTATTCCAGACTTTAACACCACCCCCTCCCTTGAAATAGAAATGGATAGTGCAGAGGTGTCTTTTTGATTGGTTATTAAATTTTTGCTGGATCGTGGCAAATTATTCTTCAATTATTCAATTATTCTTCTGCTGAAACCGTGTTGTGACTCAGTTTAAATGAATTGAACTGAATCCATAAACGCTGGTAATGAAAGGATTAATTTGCTTACACTTGGAAGAGTATTTGATGAACCCTTTTCGCCTCGCTTTAAAAAAGTAGACTGATAAGTATTTGCAAAAACACCTCCCATAGCTTCAATGTTGATCGGTACTGATCTTGCGAAAATGCGTTAGGGTCATGCAAACCAAATGCATTCTTACGCGTTTTTAATACTGAAATGTTGCACAAATTTGCTAACCTCAATGAACCAATTTCACTTAGGCTTCAGTAAATGCCTGAACAACTTACATGCTCATCAGCAACAATTTATGAGTTGTACATAGGTATCTGTGTAACTGTTGATAGTGATGCTTTCCATTGCAATGGTAGTACTACTTGACGACATTTCTTGAACATATAGTATGGGTTTGGTTTAAGAAAGGCTGGATCGCACTAAACATGTTAAAAACGCAAAAGTTCACACAAAAAGGTATAGGTTCAAGTCCCTATTCCTTGCAAGAAGTGAAAGTGTCAAAACATAATTAAACTAACCTTTAGAGACTGCTTTCTTCTTATACAATTCATAACACGCCTCTAAGGCCTCTCTATAACACTGCATACTGAATTGACCGTCAACAATAGGATATTCAGAACTTAAATCCGGTTTGTAAAAGTCGTAACGATGTTCCATATGTATGGCACGTAAACCTGGCAGAAATATTTCAAAAAATGTACATAAGAATGAAAAAAGTGTGAGTTATGTGACAGATGATTCATTGATAAAAATTTATCCGGATCCTCACTAAGGTCACGAGTAGGGTACCACTAAAAGTACAGCGAATCAAAGTTTTCTTTTGACGACTGACTGATAGAATGCCAAAACCAATGTAGAACCTCATACACAGGTGCATTGATCCAAGTTGTCACATTTCACAGTAGTACATAAAGAACAGATAGGAGTGATATCAAAGAAGACAAAGTTGTGTGAGAGAAAAAACAACTTGAAGATAAAGGTTAGTGCGAATATTCAAGCTTAAGAAAATGTCAAGGAGTGAATACATCTGCGCCAATGTGACCGATTTTCAGCCATTTAACAAAGAATCCCCACCACTTACTTCTTTCGTTTTCAGAACCCCAATCACACAGTTTAAATCGCCCTACACGGCTCAAGCCAACAGTAAGAGACTTCATAGACTGGTGGCAGATCTTGGTCTGGTCACCGTGAGCCCTCTCCCAGCCTAATCCAACTTCCCTTGGCACAGCATGTCGACGAAAACCTATATAAGTGTTTTGGAAGACTGTTTTACGGTGGGAAGAAAGACAGTTCTTACAGTGTTAGATGTAAGTTTATGCAGTTATTACATACGGTAAACGTTTATTTATGATGCTATTCCTAGGGATGTAACTTATGTGCGAAATCTTATACGAAAACCAACGTAGGCTCATCAGAAATTAGCATATACCGTAATTTTCATTTTCGAAAACAATTAATTCACACCTACGGTTATAACAGGAATTCCATCAAAAAGCACTTTGTTCAAAATTAATGGTAAACTTGCCACTAATACTACTAATAACAGGTAGTCATCTTTTGATTTGATAGAGCGGACGTTCCCAGGAGGCAAGCGCACAGCTCAAAACAATATAAACTACTCAGGAATTTTACGGTCAGTCATTATCAACAGGGGGCCTGGCATTACTGTATAGATTGTCCAACTTGACACAACTCACATCAAATACAAGGTAACAAGATGACGGAGAGAGGAATGAAGGTAAGACAATCAGACGTCACACAAAGACATCAGATACAAAGAAAAAGTGTACAACAAACAACAACAGAGTGTCATGTAACGGTTAAGATGAAGTGAAAGCAAAGAAGTGTCTATGCCACTGAGATTGATTCTGAGCCATAACACCTAGAAGCTAAACCATCACCTTCGGATATTTCGTGGACCCCAGTCTAGAAACCTACAGCTCTATACAGTTCAGGACTGACATTCTGAGAAATCACAAGCTCATCCCATGTTTCAGTCTGGCTACTTTCGACATTCTTACAAACTAACCCTACCTTAGTAAACACTGTCAGTTGGGATAGACGGTGACCAGCTAAGCATTACACATGTCCAGTCAACGAATATTTACAACCGCACCAAGTGACTTGCCGCTTTTAACTGGTACTTTACGTGACATATGCCTTGTTTCTAGGGTAACTATGGTCGAACATCAGGAACTTCGTCATGCTCTTCATTTTGAATGGTCATGTCTCACAGCCACACAGTAGAATGAGAGACGTGCTGTACAGTACGCTTGACTCTTAGTAGGTAATCGCATACCTCGCCGTTGCCATCATTGACATAAGTAAGCGAAAGTCAGTCGAGCCTTTTTTATTTGTACCAAGCTTCCATTGGTCACTAACCCATCAGGACTGATCTGGCTTCAATATCATCAACCACTTTACCACCGCTATTCTCAGTTGATATTGCCGCACACCCATCAAGAAGTAACAATCTTCTGGTTCACTCATGTCCCCAGCTAGCACAACGATGTTTGTTGAGCTAACTTGGTAGAGTAGGTCATTCTACTATTCTGAATGAAATGAAATGCACTCAGCAGCCTTTCCCACATTTGTGCAGTAGGCAATAAGCCACACCTATTGTCTGAGGGGTAATGATACTACTTGGCTGCCCGGGCCTCGGCAGCTGGAGCAGGCTCGAAACGGAGACCCAATTGTTGAAAATCACCTTCCTAAACAACAAGCCGCATCTCCACTATCCTGAAACCATGTACAATGTTTTAGCTAGATGTCTTCAGAGTTCGGACCTTGATTCAAATCGGAAAACAGACAGGCTTAGCTAGGAATTTGCGAAGTCCCGTTATTCATGTATGCTGTATTTCAGAAACTCCCATGCAAAATCCCACTGAATGTTTCCAGTAACTTTTCCATCTGCCAGCTAGAAACGTCTACTCATAGTGCGCATACCTGAGGACACCGTGGACCAGCGGCGGGCCTTCCTAGTGCTGACGTCTAAAAAACTGTCTGAGTTGAAGCTGTACTAGTTCACTGGATCCCGATCATCAGTAATCTGTGTGCTGTTCGGCTAGAAGACACAACTATGAAGAGTAACCAGTATGGTAAATGATGTTTCAAAGTCATCTGTGCTCTTGCGCATACTGAATGCAGCCCGGATGCAGATATTGATTATTTATTAGAACACAAACATGGTAAAGCAAGGGCACCAACAAATACGTCACACAAAATAATGTAACGTTATGAAGACATAAACCAAAGGGAAGTGGATAAAAATAAAACACAATTAGAATAGAATGATTAGAAGGGCAGTCTAATAAGGTGCAAACAAAATGGTCATTACATTTCAGTAGCAGAAGATAGAAAGAAGGTACAGTATGACTGCCACTGGTTTTCATTCTGAGTCATATTTGATAACGTCTCGAACCATTGATTTGAGTGATCTCTCGGACCCCACCCAGGGAGTCGTGATGCACTAACAGATACCGACCCGACACAACTATTCTTCATCCCACTGCGCCACGTCATACACTGATCACCCCCCCCCCCCGCTTCTTGCATCCAGTGCCAGGATTAGCAAACAATAAACGGTGTGGAGGCCGTTGGGACGACATGTCCAACACATATCTAAGCCACCGAAGCCGGTGTTTCAAAACGTCATTTATTGAATGACGATCTCCATCATGCTCAAACAGAAGCTGTCGTACCTCAGGATTACTTACATGGTGGTGCAACCGAATACAACCAATCCTACGGAGACGAGGACCGAACACACAGTCATCGCATATCCTCAGCTTGGAGAGGCCAGGCAGCACAGGAGTAGAGTAGAACTGCTTCTTCCAATCTTGCAAGAGTACTTTTCACTTCGATGGTTTAAAGTACATACCATACATCCATCCATCCAGATCAACCTAGGACCAGGCATTACTGCGTAGCGGTCCGAGTTACCACACCTCATATCAGTATATCAAATAAAAAGGCAGTGAGGTGCAAGATGAAAATAAGAAATTCAGTCAAAGAAATATATAGTACGAAAAGAAATCAAAGAGGAATGACAAAAGGGTGAGACTAGGTATAGCGTCGTTAAGATGAGGATATTGTATGTGTACATCTGCGCCACTGTCATCAGTTCTGAGCCATATAATCTAGAGTCTCCAACCACTGCTTCCTCTTGTCCCGCGGACCCCAACCACCCAGTCTGCATCGCCCACATGGCTCAAACCAACAGTCAAACACTTCATACATTCATGCCATGTTTTAGTCTGGTCGCTTCAGGCCTTTCGCCAGCCTACACCTACTTCGGCCAATATTGTGTGACGAGGCAATCGGCGACTAGGCATACGTAATACGTGTACCAACCATCTCAGTCGATGAAGGTTCACAAGCGTATCAACTGACTTACCTCTTCACCCTAGAACTCTACACCTGAATTCTGCGTTACTCACGTGGTGACACCACGAATACGGCCTATACTACGAAGGCAATGGTGGTCAAACACCTGAAGCCAGCCTTCTCATGTATTCCACCTTCAATGGCCATGTTTCACAACCACACGGTAGAACAGACCAGACTGCTGTGCAGTACACGCGATCTTTAATAGACAATCCGATATCACGGCGGCACCACAGGTGGCGTAAGTTGGCGAAAGCCCGTCGAGCCTTTTGTACCCGTGCAGAGATTTCATCGGCCACCGAGGCACCAGGGTTGATCCTACTTCCCAGGTAAGTGAGGTGGTCGACACACTCAATCACTACACTCTCTATTGTTGGCCGAGGCATCGTTGAAGACCAATCCTGGAGCAACAGTTTGTATTTGGATGGTGAGAAACGCATCCCAAACATTCTCAAATTGTCACTCAGTGTTTAGAAGACTCTACATCTTGTCAGCATCTTCACCTAACAGGTCTATGCCACCTGCGTATTTTAGGTCTCACGCAAATTCCCCCGCGACTAGGCCAACCTCTGTGTAGTCAGGTGACGAGAGGGAGACCTCCATGAGGATATCTGTGAAAAAATTGAATAAGAGTGGAGACAGTGGGCACCCTTGACGGACAGCAATCGGTGAGTACAGCTCACCTGACATCTCACCATACACTCTAACACGCCTGCAGGAGAGCCTTTATTAAAGTGATGTATTTACTCGGCACGCCTTCCATTGAGAGACACTGTCATAAGACTTCTCGATCAACGAAGTCAAATGCCGCCTTCAAGTCGAAAATACAGCCATTGTTGGGCATCCATAAGCGTGCCTATGTTCCAGGACTTGGCGCAGTGTGAATATTTGGTCGATACACCCGCGGCTAGGTCCTAAGCCAGCCTGGTTTTCTCGGGCTCTTTGTTCCCGAGCTCTACTCAGGCGTCGAAGAATTATGGAACCTAGAATCTTAGACACTATGTTCGTCAGGCTGATTCCTCTGTGGTTATCACAAGGGGACTTCTCACCTTTCTTGAAGACTGTGACTTAGACCAATCAGAGGGGATCGTATTTGATTCCCACATACTGGTTAACACTTCCCTTAACCTGACTAAGAGTACTCTACCACCATTCTTGTATACCTCAGCAGGAAGTCCGTCCGGTCCTGCCGCCCTTCCTCGTTTCAGGTTACCTACCACTTTCTCAGCTTCTGGTGTTGGGGGACCTATCTCTATGTCCCATTCAGGATCCAACTGGATAGCGGGCA